GTAAAGGAGAGCGGCGAGGCCGCCCTACGGCTGGAGAACTTGCGTTTGAGTGGGTTTGGTGGGACACGCGCTCGCGATTGAGTGCTTTGGAGGGGAAAGACCCAAGCTTTCGGGTGCTCGTGCTAAGGCCCTCCATCACTATCCCAATGCTGTCTGCTGCAACCGGGAGGAAGCCCTCAAGCAAGGGAAGGTGCGGACGGGGGAACTCCGAGAACTCCAAGAGTCAATCGAGGAAGGCAACAGGCTTGTGTCAGAACATAAGGCCACGATCCTACTACTGTCGGGGATTAAACCGTTAACAAGTTGGGCGGTTCGGTAATGATGGGATCAGGATAACGCTCCTATCAGTGAAATTTTCCAATTGGTGTGAGGGGAGGGTGGATCGACGTCCTCGACATGCATGGCAAGTGAACAGAATGATCGGCTCCTAGGCACCACTCGGTATACGATGAGCTGGCGGGGCGGCCGATCTCCCGTTACCTGAACGATCAGTGAGGATAGAGCCAGGTGCTGTGGGTTGGGAAGAGGGGCCCCACGTTGTAGAGGCTGACAGCCCCGCGAAGGACAGCGGTGAAGTGACCGCTTGAAGGGAACCAAATGGACGGAGGGCAGGGCTGTTCGAGCGATTGCACGGAAGACGAACGGAATTGCAACGGTGGGGTCCTCGGATCATTAGCAAAGTTCGCCTGGGGGACTGAGCATAGAAGCGAAGGTGGGCAAAGAGGCTCCTGAGGAAGAACGGAGGCAAAGTCGATTGAAAGAGTCAGCCTGGCTGAAGGAAGGACGAGGAGGATTTGCGGCGAGTTCTGACCGAGATGATCCGCATGGGGAGAAATCGGGAGTGGGTCAAGGAAACAAGATTGGAGAAACGGTTATTAGTAGGCGCGCGCGTGGGCTTCTTGATAACTGTAAAGAAGCGAAGTTGGCTAAAGATTGAGGCATGCGCCCAGGACGGATAAAGAGGCGGGTACAGGCGAGGAACAGGCGGGAGCTTGGCTAGCTCCAAAAACGGGAGACCAATGGTCGCAAAATCCCGCAGGGCTGATCGCGACCACCCCGGGTAAGATCCGAGGAGAGTGAGAATGGGATACAGCGATTGGGCAAGGTGGGAAATGAGAGGATCGAGAGGAGAAGGGAAAGTATACGGGAGGATGGGCGGTAGGATGGGGGATCGAAGAGGGGAGATGGGCAGTATCCAACAGAGCAGAATGCGATCGACGTTGCGGACAAAGGAGCACCGGGATTGGGCGAGGGAAGCAGGAGAATGGATTGGGAACGAGCAAGAAAGTTTTGAAACCCTTTTGCTGCGATCGGCGGGAATTTTTTGAAAAATTCGGCAAAACGATCGGCGGGAATTTTTCAAGAATTTCGGCGAAATGATCGGTGGGAAACAAAAATTTTTGGAAGAGGCGGAGGAAGGAGGATTGTCCAATGAAGGGAACCTAGGGAGCAGCGAATATAAAAGAGAGGCGGACGTAGGAAAGGGGGGATAATTTTTTTTTCCGGTGCACGCGCGGAGCGCTCGGAACGCACGAAGCGCACCTGTGTCCGAGCTAGCTCGTTCTCGAGAGAAGGGGGCGGGATCACACGCACGTACGGAGCTCACGAATGCAAAGGCGCTCAGACCGTTTTCTGGGTGAGCCTTGCGGACTAGCTCGCGGAGTGGCGAGCGAGGGAGAAGGGAAGGGAGCGCAAGGGATCATTCGGAGTGCACGACTGGTTTCTGGCCCGCGCGACAGCAGGCCAGCGCTTGAGCGCACGCTGGAACGAGAGGAGCACGGTATGCTCTGACATTTGTATCCGGTTACCTTGAGTACGCTGGTTTGTTCAGGTCGGTACATGTTCCAGCCACCTGCACTAAGCTCTGACATTTGTATGTGGTTACCTTGAGTACGCTGGTTCGTTCAGGTCGGTACATGTTCTAGCCACTTGCACTAAGCTCTGACATTTGTATGTGGTTACCTTGAGTACGCTGGTTCGTTCAGGTCGGTACATGTTCCAGCCACCTGCACTAAGCTCTGACATTTGTATGTGGTTACCTTGAGTAC